CAAAATGAAGCTTCATGCCATATTAAATGCCTTATCCTATTTCTCTTTGGCTTTACATTTCAACCGCTTATCTTTGCAGAAATGTGCTTTAATTCTAATTGTAAAAAAAGGTGCAAAACGCAGGATTGAGCATAATCATCACAGAATGCATAAACTTTCACTTACGCTCCAGCTGCATCGTATCAGGCATAATCAACTTTAAAACCATGTACCATCATTCGATTTAAGTGATAAAATCCTTAACCTGGATGTCCTTGGGAATGAAGAAGAGGGATACAAAAGAATGTACAGTAGTACTTTGTACTCGTTGGTAATGTGCTCCAGAAGATGCAATGAATACTAAAAGCGATGGGTCCTGAGAAAACCATGACTAACCCTGTGACCCACTATTTCAGCCAGAAGAAATAGCAAGTCACGAAGCAGCCAATGTTAGCAAGTTCTTCCTTGTGTGTCAACTATTGGGAGAAAGACAAGTGCTGGGAGAAGATTTCTGCTTCCAAATGTGTTAAATACCGAATTTGACGAGTTTGATGAATTTTGAAGCAGTCAAGTGCTGAGGTACTTGATCTACATTTTTCGAACTGATCTAACTCTTTCACTTTTCAGGCTAATAACGAATATTAGAAACCAGTTATTCAGTATGTGCTTCTCGCAATTATGCATATGCTGTTCTTGGTTCCATAATTATGCACACAATTGCACACAGGCACTGTAAGGGAAAATTGGATTGAAAAAATGTGAATTTTTATGAGCTTTCCCTTTTTAAACTGTAGTATTGTAGAAAATGGGCACAATGGAATTATAACCAAATATGCGGGAAATTGCTATGCACCAAAAGAAGGCTGATTCAGTGACTGCAGTAGAAAACTTAGGCAAGTTCTTGTTTTTTTTTTAAATTTAGACTTAATATACCGCCTTACAGTGCTTTACAGCCCTCTCTAAGCAGTTTACAAAGTCATCATATTGCCCACAACAATCTGGGTCCTCATTTTACTAACCTCGGAAGGCTGGAAGGCTGAGTCAGCCTTGAGCCTGGTTAGATTCGATCTGCCAAATTGTAGGCAGTGGCAAGCAGCAGAAGTAGCTTGCAGTACTACACTCTAACCACTGCAGCTCTTAGTTGCAGTGTTTCATTATGTTAGCCCATACTGATACTGCATTGGACTAATAGGAAACTCCAATGGGAAAACGTATAAGGGTGTTTTTTTAAAAATGTTTGTCTTACTGAGTAAAATCTGTGCAAATCATTACTTGCTTTGTAGTATCCATTCATTCTAAGAGATCCTGTGCAAGAAAGCTCACCGTGAATTGTGCGGCAGTCTCCTATAGCTGAAGCATGACTATAGGATAATATATTATTTTATATGCCAGTCTTAGCAAATAATGCAGATTAAAGTTCTAACAGAACACTAACAGAGAGAGAGACTGGGAAATCTAACAAAAGTTTGACATCTCAGATTAAGTAAGCAACCTTTAGGACATTATATTTCATAAAATACCTAACTGATTATGCTGTATACTTTTGTTTTAGAATTTATTTCTATATTAAGAGACAGAAATATCTTATTTTCCAACACAGACATAAGACAGCCTGTAATAAGAGATCATCAGCATATTCCAGAAGTGTAGGTTTGTTTGGTGAAACTGAAAGAACGTTCCAGAGGGTGTCTTAGCAACATTGTCAAGAAAACAACATGGCTGTTCCTGTGTGGTCAGCATGAGTCAATTTCAAACCTAAAGAAGAGGTTTTCTTTACTATTCCAGTTTAAAAATAGTCAATGCCATTTCTGTAAAGCATTTATTGCATTTATTGTTATTCAAACTTACGGATTCAAGCTATCTGCTGAGTTAATAATACCCTTGCATTTACTAGTCTCTTCCCTTACAACAATGAAATATAATTTAACCTATCACCTTCAGTTGAAATGCAATTGAGAAAATAGCCCCGAGCTATAAACTGAAGGATTCAGGCACAGTAGATTAAAAATTAGAATGATATGGGGAATTATAATTACCATGACAACCAAGACATGTTCCTAATTTTGTACACTGGAAACAGAACAGTGGGAAATAATTTTAAGACCCTCATAACTACAGCTATTTCAAATACCAAAGAGTGAGAGAAGAGACTGAAATTTACTTCTACTAATTTTTCTTTATATTATATACACACGTTAAACTAAAGCTTGAATGGGACCATCTGATTAAAAATACTTTTGAGACCTCTCTTTTCTAAGGAAAGCTTATCTTTTTGCAACATGGCCACAATTTTTGGTTGTGGTCTGGATAACTGACTGGCCCTGAGAGGTGACTGCTGATTCATGCCTGTCTATGGATCTTTCCATACATCCTGTTTGCCACAGTGTGAGGACACCAATTAACAGTTTGTAGAGGACATGTTCTCACAAGGGCACTTTCATCTTGTCATTAACTCTTTGCTGAAGCAGGCAGAAGTCAGTCTAAAGTGTTCTGTCTTAAAAATAGTGTTTCTCCTGCTACCATATTTGGCAGAAGTCCTCCCAGGAGCTGTCTAGTATATGTGAAGGAGAAATCTCTGAAGTTTGAATATCTATTGAGATCCAATTTGCTTACTGATTACCTCTTTGTTAAATCTACCACTTTGTCTTTGGTGAGATAGACAGACAGACAGACAGATATTGATATATCTAAAATTGTAAATAAACCACTCCTATCATTTGGTTTTCCTTTTGGTCAAATCTACCTCTCTGTCTTTGTTGAGATAGATAGATAGATGGATGGATGGATTGATGGATGGATAGATATTCTAAAATTGTAAATAAACCTCCAATCTAAAAAATGTTCAAGTATGTAGAAGCAACCATGCAAAACAATCTCAAAACTACCTAATGGATGACATCTAATGAAGATCACCTACTGCCACTGGTAGCCTCCCACCATCCAGTGCGATCCCACAGAGTTGGCCTCCTCAGGGTGCCGTCAGCCAGACAGTGTCGGCTAGCAACCCCCAGGGGGAGAGCCTTCTCTGTGGGAGAGCCTTCCCTCTGGAATGAGCTGCCACTGGAGCTTCATATAATCCCCGACCTCCGGTCCTTCTGACACGCCCTAAAAAGTTGGCTTTTCCAGTGAGGCAGCCTGGCCTGAACAAAACAAAATAAATTATTGATCACTGTTAATTTGAATTTGATTTTTTTTAAAAAAATGTTATTGTCAATTCTAATTGGGTTTGTTTGGGATATTCTATTTAATTTTTTTTTACTTTTGTATTATGTGTTTCTTTTAATGTTGTACGCCGCCCTGAGTCCTTGGGAGAAGGGTAGCATATAAATCTAATAAACCAAACCAAACCAAACCAAACCAAGTGCCAACTCCTTTTCCTAGACATCTTATTGGAAGTTCTGGTTATTGTTTATTTTGATATTGTTTAGTACTAGCAGAGTTAAAGCCCCTTTTATTTAGCAGTGGACAGTTCTGATAAAAGAGAAACAAACTACTTCTACTCATATCCCAAGAACAGCTAAATATACAAGTAATAGGTGAAGCAAATAACACCAAAAGGGCAATATTAGGAGTAATTCCAAGCTATATGTGCCATATGGCATCAATATTCTGACTCCTCTATAACATAAAAATGCATTGTATGTTCTAATCTAAAGAAAATTTGCCAAATTCTTTTTGGGATTAGCTGACTGAAATGTGGATGTTTACTCATAAAAACTGTGTTGTATAAATGGAAATACGGTGCTTTTTAAGGTGCTAAGTGTATATTTATTATGTTTATATAATTAAAAAAAATATTTTAAGTTTTTGAAACCTTTTAGCAATCCTGTTTCCGCCTATTGCATTTCTTTTAAGAGTGCTTCTGTCTGTGAAATTCTTTTAGGACTGGTCTATTCCAAAGGAAGTTTATTAAGATAATCTGTTAGTTACCAGAGATTTAAATGACAAAGGAGAAAATGGATCAATATTAATTTTTAAGGGGAGAGGAGGACTGGAGAGTTCACCATCCTTCCTGAAGATTAGTAACCTATTTTAGACTTCTGCAAAAATATATCTCTCAGTATCACTCAGTTTTGGAGAAAATTTGTAAAAGTCATTTGTTTGAATTGAGTGAGATGAAATTTCACACATTCATTTTGTTTCAGTGATAAAAGTTTGCTGTTGATAAATGTATAACACCTTTTGAGTGATGACATGACATTGATTAATACGAAGAACAAGCACACAACTCATCTGGTACCAAACTCAACCCCCCAACATCACACTCATATTATGAAGGAGGTGTAGGACAGAAAGAAGAAATAGTTCCCGTATTTTTATAGAAACAAAATGCTAAGAAGCAGAGTAACCTTTTACTGACCAGCCTCTAAACTGCATTCTGAGAAGAGTTTTTAACTCAATGAAAAAAAGCTCATTGCTTTTTGAGTCAAGCCTCTGCACATGCTCCCTTTTTATCACATTGCTTCTGTCTTGCAGCAAAGTGAAGTCAGAGGTGGTATTCTACTGGTTCGCCCAAACTGGTAGCGGAAATCGTGGGTGGCCCCGCCCACTTGCCCCGGCTCTACGGCATCCCATATAGGCCCTTTTTTCACCAAAAGCACAGGTGCGGAAGGCGGTGCACATACATGGAGGTGGTGCGTGCGATCTGAGTGAAGTGATCTACTTTGGTGCATGGGTGTGCTGTGAGAATCTATGCTAAGATAAATAATTAATAGATTAGCAGCAGCAGCATAACTATTTACAAAGGGGTGGAAACCATTTCTGAATAAGGTTATATGTTTACATCTCTTTTTATGGGAATCTTAATTTGCCTTCAATCAACATCAAATGTATATCACTTTGAGTTAGCAAGATGGTCTAACACTGAACAAGAAGAATCTCCTCATGTGCCAACTAGAGCATATTTCTCTTCTTTTACTAGCATACTGATCATATTCCTTAGTGGCCACATGCATCCAAGATTATAAACCTTTATTTTATTTATATATTTTATAACTGCCTTCTGAAAGTGATGTACTTACTTGATGAAGTATTTGATTCCATCTGCTGTATACGCTTTTTCCCACCCATAAGGCAGACCTAAGTCAAGGGAGAGGAGAAACACGAATAAAAACAAAACAGAATGAATCACTCTCAATACCACAAATTTCACATTCAGACATGCTTATATACACATCAAACTATTTCATTTCAAGACAAACAATATTTTGCTGAGCGCAAAAAGAAGACTTAATGACGGATGATGAAAGTCTTTACATTGATTCTTACTTCCTACAATCTCATCTGAACATCCTGGCTATGATGGGAGCTATGGCAGGAACATGTCCTAAGACCCACTTCTGAAAGACCATCACTTTTAAAGCGGAGAAGTTCCTGGTTTGCATGTTTCTCAGAGAGAGAGTCTCCCTTGATTTCACTCCTGTTCATTTTTGCCATCTTACTTTGGACCCAATGCAGAAGGAAAAAGAAACGGAAACAGAAACTTCTCCACTATGTTTCTGGTCGTGACTGCTTGTTTGCTTCTTCACTCAGAAAATGTAGGCAAACCACCATTGGCAACAAGGAGCCGAAGCAGAGAACTCACAGCTATAAAGGTTCCAGTAGTACGCTGTAGGTGCTTGATCATGCCAACACCCTGGCTTCATTTCTTGAAGTTAAAATGTTAGATGTGAAAAACTTGAAGGAAATTCACATTTAGCAGAGGAGGAAATTAGACAGTATAAGATCAAAACCACCAGCAGGTTTTTCACATTTCAAGTGAAGTCAAGAAATTGTTATTCGTGCAGATTTCACGGGTTTGCATGCTTTGTCTGATGTATTCAACAGAGACCTTGACTTCTTGTGAGCTTGCTATTTATTTTGTAAAGTACAGACTAGACAAGTGGCACTCTATACAATACTTGTTGATAGAAAATAAAGTTTTTCCTCTTGGTTTCCTCTTTTAGTTAAGCTTTTTAGAGCCCTTTCTACTATGACAGGGGCTCTAAAAGCTTTGGTAGGCAGATTGTTTCTGAAGCATATAAAGTAGAAGAGTTGCAACTACACAAATTAATGTATAGATCTCTGGCCTAATGCCAATTTGAAAAGAAATCCCACCAAAATCTATTTCTGCCTTGATTGAATTTCTGTCCGGAGAAAGAGTTTGATTTCACTGAACATTTGCCATAAACAGCCTACTATTACTAGTGTTTTCCAGGAAATTTCCTCAGCGAAAATGTGTTGCAAACAGCAACTTACCAACTTACCCAGCAAACAGTGATGATTCTAAAATCCACGGAATGAGATAATCATGCAAGTGTGTAAGTCACAAGCTGTTGCACAATTATGTCATTGTCATCATTTTCACATCTTGTTCTCTGTGAAAATGCCCTTTTGCTTAAATAAAATGCAGGAGTATCCTAGCCTATTAATTTTTACATCTTGTCTCTAAGCAACGTAGTCACTGACATGATTATATAGCAAGCAAAAAACTAAGGTTTTGATTCACAGTGTGAAAGTTAAAAGTCAAGCACTAGAGCTAGACAAGGATGGCTGGAACCATCAAGCTCTGTCTCTATGTCTCTCATTAGTATTTAAATGCCAGTGACAGTTTTCATAGAAAAGCATGCAGATCTGAAAGTTACAGTCAAACAAATCATCAGTTTGGAGTCATTGCATTGCCACAAGAGACCCAAGTCTAACCCCCTGTGAAATCTGTTGACCCATATCTAGAGCCAATTTAGCTTTGATGGTTAGTTGACTAGAGTCTTGCACTAAAGTAGCAATAACAAACTCTTCTGTGCTTTGAATGGAATGAATGTGTCTGGTTATTTGATCCTGACAGTTCTGCAGGCCATTCTCTACAAAACATCCTTTGTGAGGGTATTTCGTAGAGTCTGAAGCAAATTAAGAAGAGTTGTTATCCTCTTGCCTCAGTAATACTCAATGCCTAAGATGACAATCCTTTATATACTTACTCAGAAGTGAAGTATTTGGTTCACATTGGTCAAAACTGAGTAAACATATTGATGAAATGATGCCATTAACTTATTGGTTAATTCCTAGCCTTTTTTTTTCTTATGTTTTTAGCAGTGACACCTTAGGACTGATACCAAAGCCCTTAAACTTTGGTCTTTCTGAACTTCATTTTAGCTGGATTTTACTCTTGATTGTTCAAAATTTTCAGAAATACATCTATAGCTAAGTTTGAGGGATAGCATAAATGTGTTTTTCTGGTTAGTAGTTGTATACCACAGTTATTTCTGCGCTGGTGTAGTGGTTAAGGTAAATATTGATATTGGCATATGAGTAAGGTTTGGATTATGTTTTCTTGTGGTTAGTGGTCAAATTTATTTGAGACTTCACATTAGGGTGAGTTTATGGTTAGCAATTAAGTTGGATAAGTATTTTTTAACCTCTTCAAACATTTCTTTTCTAGTGGTTAGGTCCCAGTCTAGGAGAACAGATCCCCATGTCTCTTCCTCATCCTTTTGGAAAATGAAACAACAGGATCACTGAGTAATTTGGGGGGACTTCCATTCTTGGTCAGATTACTTCCTGTCATTTCTTCTTCCTGAAATTTGGCTACCTGGTTCAAGAGGAGATTATCCTTAGGTATGCCTGATTTACAGTTTATAGCAAAGGATAGTATCATTGTAGTCACCACTTCCTTGAATTCCTACCCAAACACTCTTGACTGAACAATTTTTAAAATATAATTTTAATAAGAATTTTGATTACAATAGTCAAACTAATACAAACTAAACTTAGAAGGGAAAAATAAAAAGTGTAGGAAAAACAAAAAGAGAATAAACAGAAAATAAACATATAAAGGAGTGACCTTCATTATAAACAAATTTAGTAACTCTCTACCACTTATAAATTTACAAACAGATATCTCTTCAGCCCTTATCCTTTGTCTATAGGCAAATCCATTAAATGTCAACTGTTCAATCCTGGTATCAGCAAGAAAGTCCATAAAGGGTTGCTAGAATTTGCAAAAGAAAACTTAATTAATTTTAATCTTGATCAGGTAAATCAATTTTATATTCCTTTCTTTCTTTAATTTAATCACAAACTATCGAAGGAACTGATTTCTCCTTAATTCTTCTTTATTCTATCACAGATTGCCTCAAGACTTTATCATGCTTCTTTTGTAGAACCAATAAGAAAACATTTTCTAGGTCATTCTCTTGGTTTATCATTTGCATTTCCCCTTTAATTTTTAAAGTCTCAGCAGTTCTTTTGCTTTTCTAGTGTCCTTTTCCAAATAATTCTCTTGGCCTGTCATTTGTAGTTTCACTTTCTGTATTTTATCCTGTCAGATAAAATGTGTTACACATCAATCATTCCTTTATTAACATCTCTTGAACACACTCTATTCATAGAAACAGACATCATTACTGACAACAGTGATATTTTAGATATTAATTTCTGGCTCCATTGTTAAAATGTATCTTTTAAGATTTCAGATAACTTTTTTTTTTCATTTTCTAAGTCCCAGTCCCCATAAAATACTGACATCAATAAGAGGCTTATATGTCCTTTCTTTCTTCTGCTTATTATCGTTAGTCCCTGCTGGTGTCCAGTTTCTAAAATCATAAAGTAACCTATCTTATGACTTCCAATAGTCAGGATAGCCAAAATAAGTCTGTTTCCCAAAAGACGCTATTTGTTTTTTTATACTTACCGTAATTCCAAAGTCTTATGGCAAAAGTCAACAACATTCCAAATTTATCTGGACCCTTAATCTATTTATAACATTCTTAGATCAAAATCTTATTTAGCTTTTGGCTGTTTATTTCTAATTCTTTAAGCTTGCAATTATTATTTTTTCCAGAGTTGAAACTAAATTCACCCAGTGACTTTTAAAACTTGTCATTGTGAAGGTCTCTAAGAGCTTTACGATAATTAATAGGCAATTTTGGAAGGAGAGTAGAAAGGGTGGCTTGCAAGCTTAATGGCCTTAAACTTAAAGGCTCCATCTCGGTTGTGAGAATATGGCCAATCCCATTATCTCATGGTGTTCAGACTGCAGAAAACTACTGTTCTGCACTCTTCTCGCACATGTGAGCGATCTCTCATCCTCTCCTTATCTGAATGTGTTGCAAGAAACCAACCTGTTGGTTCCTTAACCTTCGCTGAGGTTGTTGGCTTTGCTTTCAAGGAGACATTTCAATTCACCAAACCTTCCCCAGAAGTCCATGCTTAATTGGACTATTGTCATCTTCACAGAGGAAAACAAACATGGCCCATCTCCTGCAGGTCACAAGAATAGCCCTCTCGTCTTTGTTGATGAGCAACAATGAAAAATATTTCTCCTGTTCGACCTTTCCTACTGAAGTCCTATTTGACAGCTCTGTGAGTTTACTCTATGGGGAACTGGTTTCCTTATATGCTCCCTGAAGGTACCTCAGCCACATAGAAGTTCAGATAATAGGCAATTTGCAGCAAACAGCAGCACAATGTAGAAATTATAGCCCTCTGTCTCCTAGGTGATCCTGTCTCTTCCCTGTCCTCAGTTGAATTCCCTGCTAAACCCCTCTTTGCTCCCTCAGCGATTCTAATCTCTGAGGTCAGATTTCTTTCTCTGTCCACCCAAACAATACTGTATGTTTCTTTGTGAAGCCCTTGCAGGTATAACAATATTAAAAATCAACGCTTTGTCTCCCCTGAGCAGATAGAGAAACATGGGATATCACTTTGACATAAACTGCCATCTTCTTCTAGCCAACAGGATCAGAAGGAGAAGAAATAATGCAGCATCTGTCGCTCAATGCTAAATTTGCTTATGTAGCAGTGTTAGTCCAAAATATTTTTTTAGATTGCAACTCACAAAATTATTAGATAGCATAAGGAAACCAGTTCCATCAATAGTTCCATGCAACTATTGTTGGAAGTAACAGAAATCTTGGGGTCATACAAACTTCGTATCAATGATTTAGCTTCTTATCCAGGAGAATGAGAGAGGTGCTATCTCATAATATCTAAAATCTTGATAGGGATAAAGTATTGGGGATTAAAGCTATCCCTTTTATCCTTACTGTACCCAATACTGCTAACTCCATAAGCGGCGTGACATTTTATTTTTCACTGCGCTC